GATGAAAGGGCTCAAGGATAGAGAGCATGGTTGTGAGAGCAAAGCCGATGTGTTACGCTACATAGTTGTCAATCTCGCCATGCTCTCTATCCGGCCTTGTACCACAGGCGGCTTGGAACGTCTCAAGAAAAATAAATCTTCACACAATTTTTCACAATGATCGACCGCCTGTGTGCAAAATAGGTGAACGTATGTGAAACATATACGGTTAGTACTTACTTTGACATATCCGTGACTAACTGACACTATAAATTGGTAAAATGTTCCATGCACCTTAAGAAATGTGAGAAATTACGAGGTTATCATCGCAGAACTCCCGAACACCGTACGTCACAAAGCTATAATATATGTAAACAAACACGCGGGTTGCGAGGTGCCTGCCTCCGATATCCATTTCGAGGCCCGCTAAGCCAAGCATAAAGCGCGCGGGCAAGACGTCACAAACACAGCTATGTTCATTGGCTAAAACAATCGAGTAGCGCGGTTAGGGATTTTCGGAATTATTTAATTTTAAGAAAAACTTCAATGTTCAATGAATGACCTTTCATTATTTACGAAAAGCAAGCAGTCTCGCCAAACACCTACATGCAGTAACGGGTCACGTCGTTGACGCCCCATTCATGCCCATCAACGAAGAAGGCGGGACTTATTCTGATTACGGAGATGCCAAAATGCAACAGAAGGACGTAGCGCAGTGCGCTAAACAGCGTGCTATTTTCGTTTTTGTGCCAAACTCTATCGTAGGAAACCGTTCTAGCCTAGCAGAATGCCCTAGTTCCTGAGATCGGCGATTTGGTACTGTGATGGGTCCCCACCTTATATTATATTATAGAGAGGTACGGCGTAGGCTGTGATTGGAAGACACAAAGTGTCAATCCTCGGCGCGCCTCGGCATCATGGCCGCATCACGTCCAGAGGAGAGACCGGATACTAGAGAGGCGATGCGCAAAGGAGGCGTTGATCCTGACCGCTGCACGGATGTTGCGCGCAGTTCTGCGGCAAGGCGCGCGGGAACGTGCTACGATAGTATTGGGCGCTGGGAGCTATGCATCCGTGCGCAAAATCCATAGGCCGGCGCACGGATGCATAGCTCCCAGCGGACAGTGTAGATTTTTGTGCTCATTTAGCCTCTAAAGGACAAACGGGAACTTACTGAATATAGTTATTTAGCGCTAAGACTCACCACATCATTTGCGAAATGTCTCTCGGCACACACCGGCCCCCGGTCATCTGCGCATGCGCAAGCATTTCCGTGCACTGCTACCCTCTACCGTCCCTTAAAGAAACCCCGCACGATAGATTTTTGTAGACTAGTGGCGCGATCTATCGGCCGGCATATGTGCTAGACTCATCTGGGGCACGTTGCTACGAGGTTGACTTATATACGTCGACTGCCGTCGTCTTGTCAGACGTGCAGTGAATCCCGTGTCGAAACCTGTATGTGAATGGCTTCGATCGTATGTGAATCCTGTAGAATATGGATTTGATCCGTAGACTATGTTTCAAACCTGTCGTACCTCGTAACAACACACGTGGGCACGTGGGGCACGTTGCTACGGGCCAATAGCCTTAGTACGGCCTGGCCGGGTTTAGAGTACGGGTAAAGAATAATGACACGAAATTTCCCCAGCAACTAGCCTATGCTAGAAGCGCGCGCGCGGTGATTGGCAGTTGCCGTGGGCGTGTCACGACGGAAAACGTTTAAACTCCGTTTTTGACGGCTATAGGACGCGCGGCCATTAGGCCAAACTACTTTCTGGTAGCATTTGCAGCAAATCTCGAGCTACGTGGGTAGTCAAAACCGTCGTGCTACGAACACAACTCTCGCTGGACGATTTCCGGACCGTTTTCCGTATACCCTAAAGGGACTTGAGAAAGTGTTCAGGATAGTGCTGGTTGTTTGTATTGGCGGCTGCTATGCGGCGTTTTCGTGCTGGTGCACGAGGAGGGCTGCGAGACGTCTAGTCACATTTATTCCAATCGAAGCTCTTGTTTAAATTGTTAATGTTTTATTTTTGGTCATCCATGGGTATCTAGTAATGAAGTCCAAAGTTTTACACATAAATTGGCGATCAAACTTGTGAATTTGTGAGTCTGTCATTGGAAAATTAAACTATAATATTGGTATAGCACATATATATATATATATATATATATATATATATGCATATTTTAATTTTAACACAATTACATCTTGTTCCTTAGTAACTTAGGGGCCGTCCACAATTATCAACGTTATCAAAACTCTACAGACTATAAATTTTTATGACCATCCCCTAAAAGTGCACAAATAAAAATATTCATTCTCAGATCTGGTCAGGGGAGATGTGCATCAATACTTATGTGTACTTTGAAAAGGGTACAATGGCTGTTGACTCTGTCTCTCCTGGGTATAGTTTGTATGTTTGGAACATTGATAGTTGTGTATGGCTCATTTTTTAATGTTAACAGGTTTTCTGTAATTGCCTTGGATGAAAAAGGACAGGTGACGTACGAGAAGTCTACAGAAAAAACGCATGGAGCCCTATCAAAGGATGAGGCGAGTCATTTTGTCTTAAATACACTGTATAATAAACTTCGCTTTTCCTGAATCTATAATGTAGGGCATGTTGACATACCTCAATGTATACGTATATGATGTATAAATGTTAGTGAGTGTATTATTCATATGTTCCCATAAAAACGTCCATATGATTCTTACACTTATACGAAAGTGTGCACTTATACAAAAGTGTGTATCTATAAAGTATAATTATTATAGCATTCCATAGGATATGAGTGTATTAAAGGCATACTAGGCCCATTGATTATGCAATGTTGACGAATGCTAGAGTGACTGGCACCTTGTGTAGTTAATAAGTACATTACCTTATAGCCAAACGAGTATTAGTTTGTCCATTATCACTGCTGGTTACATTACAAGCAAGACTTGAAATCGGTTGTTGACATTCATTTACGTGCCGTAAATGTCATCCAGGAGTCAAGCGATGACGTAAACATTTGTGCAGCCCATATGTTTTGGATGCCAGATGAAACGGAGGTGTCAGCGGTGTAACCACGGACACGGACTAGACATGGAAATAGAGTAAAACACACGTACTAATCACGGACGCACATGGACAGACCTGACAAAAAGTTCCTTATCACGAGCGTCCGTGTTTATGAAATCACTGATGATAGCATTGCGTACGGCCGAGCATGCGTGCGAAAATGTCCGGTGCACTATAAATCTGTATCACACCCGCTTCGCCGGCAGCGGTTTGAAACTGTAAACAACTGATTTTTTGGACTGCGGATTTCAATTAGACATTTCTTAGTAACCAGCAGTGATATTGGACAAATTAATATGCGTTTGGATGTAAGGTTATGTACTTATTCACTACACAAGTTGCCAATTACTCTAGCATTCGTCAACATTGCATAATTAATGGGCCTAGTATGCCTTTAATTCAATTTTGCAACAAATGACATTCATTGTGTCTGGAAGTTTTTTTTTTAGGTCTGCTAGTATTAATGTATTTAATCATGTGTGTATCTCATGATTATTCGCATGAAACACATAAGTATTAAAATGTTTTTTAATAGGAGGCACTAGTGCTGCACGTGGACAGAAAGGTGGCTTTTCCTCTGTACATCAGTGTGCATCTGCTTTTCTTTACCCCCGAAGAAGTTGCAGCTAGCAATCTAAATCATGGTGAAGAAGAGGTGCCAAATAACATACCTCCAGAAATAGAAGGTGGAGGAAATCTCAGAGTGGGAGAAGAAGAAGTACAATTGTAGTATCCAGCATTAGTTATAGCAACATCCATAAAACAGACAATGCACAATGTATTGCAGCGCAAGGGGGGGGGGGACATCTGTGAAAATGCTTTATATTGTAAGGTTATTTATAGTTAACACATATTCTATGTTAAACTACTTTTCTGAACAAGTTTCTTGTGCTAAACATGTGGTTATTAGTTGGTCGGTTTTTACAAATGAGTAAGACATAACAAGATGACATGTTTATAATGGCATGCATGCTAAACTAAAGACATCAAGACCAAGGTTGTTGGAACCAAATGCAATTTGTTGCTAAAATGCCAAAGCGTTTTGTGAAAGCGCATTTGTAAGTTGTCCGTCTGATATTATATTTATGTATAACAACAACAAGTGATACATTGTGTCAAATGTAGGACATTTGTTATTCACTAGTTGGTAGGAAAAATGTGCAGATTTATTCAAGTTGTAATAAGAATGTCGACATTGTGTGTTCTGCTATCTATGTAGTTGTACACCGTCTTCATTGTGTCTACTTTAGGTTGTTCCTTAAGTTCAGTAACAACAGCTTGTATTGCTTGTTCTATAGAGTTTCTACACTCGTTGAAATTGCATTTATAAGAAGGTTGTGATCACGAAATTAGAATCATTCCAATCTCATCACGATTGTACATCCTAGTTTGTTTCATATGAAAATAATAATATTGATTGGATTTATTAATAATTCTTATGCCGTTTAGCTACCTATTTATTTATAATTTATTTAATTTAGTTGATAGTCTTCTGTGGTAGGAGCCTTTTCATAGTTGTGTTTGTTTGATGACAAATAGATACAATCAGGAGTGAATAATTACAAATTCCAATTTGTCATTATTGACAATTTCTCATTATTCACCCGTGATACAATTCATGGTCTCTCACAATAAAATTGGAAACTGGTGGCAATTAATAGCTAACACAGTGGTTTGATAGTTTTATGTGCTGTTTCTAATGCACAATGTCTAATAACAAGCTCTATTAGCATTATATTAGGACCTCATGTTTATATATTATAGGATGCTTTTTGTGCACTTGAGTGTTGGTGCTATAAAGTGTTTTTTGCAAATATACCCCAAATGTCAAGCATTTTTACTAAACCGACAACCTCATCCATTGTCTCGCGACCTGTTCAAGCTTTGTGAGTTATGATACACACAAGCAGACAACGCTTTCACTCAGGTTTACATATATTGGTATTGGTTAATATCAATGTTAATATCCATAATGTTACATTATATTGTTTGCTTCAATTTATTACCATGTGCACTTCCAAATACAAACATTAAATAATGAATTTTACACAAGGATAGTGATACATGCTAGATGGAGCGATGATCGCTAACAACGTGGCTAACAAAATGAAATTGCATCTCCCTCTGCATTACTCCCTCCCTCCTTGTCTCTCCTCTTCCCTTCCTTCTCCCCTTTCACTCACTTCCCCTCAATATTTGCCTCCCCCTCCCAAATGGTATCGCCTACGACCTCGTTAGCACGGTAAAATTTCAGCAGGCAAATGGCCGCATTTCGGCTCAAACTTCCACCCCCCCCCAAAGCACAAAAAGTGGATATATGGCTATAATACGCGTTTTTATAGTCACATAATCACACATACACACACTAACACTAATCTGTTCTAGGGTCTCTGCCGAACCCAAATTTGGGCCAGATATGGCGGCGCTTCCTCTCCTTGTTATATTTAGCTCCTTGGTTCGTTCCAGCGCACGGCCTCGCGGAATTGGCGTATTTTTTTCAGCAAATACCCAAAGACAATTTGGCAGACGTGCAATCGCATGAATCTTCAAAATAAGCACATGCGTTTGTTAATATCTTTAGTTTTGAACTTCAGACTGTGGACTCCTTCATTTTGCTGCGGACTCCCTCTTTTTGACGGCGGGGAGTCAACGGACTCCCTTGCTCAAAAGTTAATTTCTACCCCTGAAGTAACATATTAGCTCTAGCACTATAGCCCTTGTTCGCCACAGGGGCGCCTCTGGTGAACAAGGGCTATAGTACTAGAGTTAGTAACATATATACTTATTTATAATAAATGTTCAATATTTTCGCATATAAACGTTGATGTTTTGTGATTATTTCCAGTAACATGGAGCTAAATTTAACTAAAAGGAATACATACTATAGGTAGCATTTCGTCTAGCAGTTCCATTTTTCCATCTGGCATTCCCTTATTCACCTTGGTAGTTGGCAGTTGCTGTTTCTCTTGGACTTCATCATCATCACTAATATTTCATAAACAAAATAGACATATATAATTAAATACAAAGTTATATTCCATGTAGATTTATTATAGGTTAAATGTTTCTATTCCATAACATGGAAAGCCTATAGCTGCGTTCACACGAGATACACGGCCTCGCTGGTTTTGTACTTATCTGGTGCTGAATTCGGCTGAAATACCGTGCTAACACAACCCGGAGCGTTCACACGAGAATCGAGGCTTAGCTGGCTAGGTATAATATAGATTGGTACCTGGTCGACAGTTCCACACGCTACACTAACGTCGTGTAGCGAAAGGGTACCAGTCTAGGTAAGAGCACTAAAGTTTTGCAATTCGAAATTGCGTTCACACGACAGACAATACGCGGCCAGCGTGGTGCCGAATGTTTCAGCTCAGAATCACTTTCCGCGCCGAGTAAGCCTCGTATTTCAGTACGGTACTGACTAAGCCGCGTATAAGTCTTGAATATTTTTAACATGTGAACGCTCAGTACGGAACTGAAATCCTCGTGTGAACGCAGCTTATATTTAGTGCTATGTAATACATTATACATAAATCTACAGACATTGTTTGTCACGGTCAAGACAATTACAGTGTTATATAATATGAAATCATTTACATAAACAATAGCTTCCACATATATATGTGCTGCTGCATATTTGTGTATATACCTTGAAGTGGAATCAGAAGAAGAGCTTGATGAATCAGATGAGCTAGAACTATCAATACTAATAGTATTAATAGTGGTAGTAGTTTGTAGCTCAGTATCTCCAGTATTTCTCTTCAAAGAATCTTGTTCTAATGTTACAATAATTGGGGTTTCATCATCATTGCTGCTATTACTGTCACTGTCACTATCTTCTGTACCAGAGTCAGATGAGGATTCATTCACATTTGTTTCAGTTGCATCTTGAGAAATCCTACATGGGTTAAGCCTATTATCTGATTTGTGTGAAACGGTGTTGCTCATATTCACTTCTGTACACACGCTTCTGATGGATGGCAGTCCATCATTATGATTCTGAACATGGATCTCATTTTCAAAAACTGTCCCTGTAGCATTCACATTCGTGCAACTTTGCTCATTCCTACTGCAGGTGATCTCTCCTTCTTTATTGCTGATCAAGCTTGCATTGCCGATGGTCTGTCCCACAGCACTCATCTCCATGGGTAGATTACTACGAATATGATCTTGTGTTTTGTTTATAATAGTGTCACTGAAGGCAATGCCACCGCTAGTAGTAGTATCCTGATTCCTGCTGGACAAGATATCTTCTTTGCTGGTAACATTATTATTCCTGCCATCGAGTTTCACATGAGTTATCGTATTAGTTGGTGGTACAGTACTATCCCTAGTAGTAGTATCCATACTATTATCGCAGTTCGTCTCTAGCTCTGGTTTAGTATCAATGGTTAGATTATTGTTGCGTGGACAATTGCCTGTATTTTGCTGATGAGAGCCAGAGATTGCCTCTTCTTCATCGCCATTTGATGTGCATTCATTGGCACTGGCAGAGTCTACCATGCCAATGTCAATGCTTTCACTTTCAGGTTCCTTTAATTTTATACTTTCCATTTCACTGACACTGTGATTTTTTACTATCAGAATACTAAGTACCTAACCAGTATATACCCTGCTACATCGGCGCGACTACTCCCTGACAACAATATTCAGTACTGTAGTGTTGACCTAATGTTGTAACTTGTAATAGGGGAGAAGTCATATCGTCGGGCCGTTATCATCTTTTCAAATTTGTACTTCTCGATTTTTGCTTGTAAAAATGACCATTGACGTCACATGCAGTCCCGAGTCCGTTTGAAGACTGATTACTCAGACCAAAACGTTTGCTCTTTTGATAACCAGGATACTCTACCACAAATTATAACACAGTCTGTTTAAAGACATATGTCAAATGCTCATCTGCTAATCAGCTAGTATACCCGGTACTTCACCAAAATTTAGAAATGCCTGAGTATACCACGTTTTCCACGGGAGCTGACATGTTGGGAACAATTTCCAATGACGTCACGTCGTTTAGGCGATTATTCATAATAAATAATAAATAATAGAATAACTAGTGAAGTTTATGATATTAAGTAAATTTTAGACTTACTATTGTATTTTTTAATTTTAAGATATAAATAATTTTTTTCTAATAAAGGTGTAGTAAATTAAACTTGGTGCCCATCTTATTTTAGAATAGTGTGCTATCATTTATGAGAGCACACGCGTATTGACCCTTCGCTTGACATCTTTGCTTGACACTAATGGTTTGAGGTTGATGTTGTTGAATGAGGTGTTTGGTGAGGTCCGGTGATTTGTTCTTTTTTCTATTATAATTGCTTAGCTTCATTTTTAAACGATGGATCGGTATGGCACTGGAGGTTATAGCTCTCCCTATGGAGCAGGAAATGTACCCCTAAATCTTCCAGGTAATGCAAAGTTATGATGTTGTTTTAACCTTTGTGAATTGTCTGTCTTCCATGATCATGATGTAATAATACTATCAGGAGTAAGATAATATCTACCATATATACCTATATTATATATACCTATACCTATATACCTACCCCACCACACCTACATATACACCTACCTACCTACCCCTACATATACCTATATGATCTTACTCCTGCTAGTATTAGTATTAGCTAGAGTACAGTACAGTAGGTGATGGCACGACTCATTTGCACTCATTATAGCATACTCATTACGTAATGCGTTGACGTAGAGTCTTAATAAAACGGTATATAATTATTAACACTTGTGTTAACACTACAAGTGCTATAAAGCGTGTCCCACTAGTAATGTAATAGGTAGTGGTAAATTTACGATTTCTCACAATATTTAAAAGTGTGGCTCCTGTGACTGGTAGTGGTAAACCACATTATCAACTCTCGCCAGACTTCATGAGAAGAGAGTTTAGTTCAGTGTTCATAGTGCAGTTGTGGGGTGTTGTTTCCAAACAATATATTTATGTTTGTTTGTAGGCACTGGTTCAATGACGCAGCTCTCCCCATATCTCAACATCGATCCAGGCTATTTGTATCAGGTAATTTTATGTTTAATACGTTAATGTATTTTACTTATAATAATATACGTATAATTATTCTTTCACATATTTTTTAAGGGTGCCTTATACTGCCAATTCACTGATCGTGTGAAATAATAATTACAGGACTTACCTGTCTATAACAATGTTACTAACTTATTGTGCTGCCGAAGCAGGCAGAGCTTGTGATATAACTAATAGGCATATGTTAACCTGCTATTTTAAGAGAGTGAGTATTTGCCCTACGGTCGGGTGTATAAGAAAGGCTAGCTATTCGCCCGACAGTCTATAAGGATATGAACCAGTCTACGAGAGTTTATCCTCGCGCGAGATCTCTCGATATTGCCATTTTTAGAATTTCCGCACCACTGCTTTCATTGTTAGGGTTAGGGTTAGGGATATTTCTTGATATCAAGAATTGTATTTCTTGATATCAACAAGACGGTCGGGCGAATAGACAGTAGCAACATACACATGTGGCAGTCGGGCGAATAGCCTCGGCCCTATTTTAACATGATATAACACATGCCATATGCCACAATCCACCTCTTATTCAGAGACATGCCCAATTCAGCAACACATTAAGGTTGTTAGGGGCAGATAAGCATTGTATTTTTAGGTGATCAGTGGTTATGGGTGTCAGACTGTCAGTGGTGTTGGACCAGCTCTAATGTAATTGTATCCCCCACGTCAAAGTCGGCGCGGATAGTATGGTTTCATGTCTGTCCAGCCGCCGCCGCCGCAGACACTTTCCCTTCCGCTCTGTAACTCGACCCCTAATTGACCTAGCATGACCAAACATAGTCTACTTACACATCTTGGGGAGAAAGTGTGTCACGTACCAAAACCACGTCACTGCGGCTTTTATTTGACTTTGACCTTGACCTTGATCATATCTCCCTTCCGCTCTATAACTCGGCCCCTAATTGACCTAGTGCGACCAAACTTGGTATACTTACACATCTTGGGGAGAAGGTGTGTCGCGTACCGAAACCAGGTCACTGTGACCTTTATTTGACCTTGACCTTGACCTTGACCTTCATCACATTTCCCTTCCGCTGTATAACTCGGCCCCTAATTGAGCTAGCGCGACCAAACTTCGTATACTTACACATCTTGGGGAGAAGGTGTGTCGCGTACCAAAACCCCTAAGGCAACCAATTTTAACATACTTGCACATCTCAGGCAGATGAGTTGTGTAACAAACCTTTGTCTTTGTGACTTATTTAACTTTACCTACCTTCTACGTCTTTACAGAGATATTTTATTCATACTAGATCACGGGGGATACATGTAGTTGGCGACAACTGCCCTTTCTAGTTTTATTATATTCTTTTGAATTTCAGTATTTATTTTTGAATCTAGATATAGAACATCATTCTTTATATATGGTTCAAGATATATAACATTTTGAGTGGATTAATTAGAGTAGCAATTAACAAGGGTAGCGTTTGTATGTATGTGGTGTACATAATAGCTACGGATCTGATGGTATGTACTTGTTTCTCCAGAGTGAAGGCCCCGAATTCATTTTTCCGGAAGGTGCAAGTCACAAGCGGGGGAGGTTTGAGTTGGCCTTCTCACAGATCGGTGGTTCAGTGATGACAGGTAAGTGAAGTTGGCGTGATTTGAACAGAAATCCAATCTGTCAGTCGCTCATTCAAATAAAAGTACTATTTCCATGGAGACTGTCATCAACCAAGATAAATTTATATTGATTGACCAATTCATAGCTGTCGTTCAACTTTTTTCTAGTCAATATGTTAATCGTATTAATTTTTAATGTGTGGCTGCATATTATCAAGAGTAGATAATAGGGAAGGAGTGTGACATCAATAAACAAGGGAAATTCGTCATTTACTAGCCTTAAAATACCTACGATTTACTACGCGTAACGCAACCAACTTGAGCTCAAATCGTACCCAGTACATTTGCCTAGCATCGTACGAAATCGTTTCCTCGTATACACCCGCAATCCGGAGATATAGACTAAAACATATGACACGATTTTCCATTCTGTAGCCAGCAAAAATGTGTTCAGAGACGAATTTGAAACAAAAGGCAGCTACTAACGCACTATTGCTAACTCGGCGGGCAATGTGGCTCGCTGGGAGATTAGGCATCAACGCAACACTCGGCGAGATAACCTTTGACCCGGTACACAGCTACATACCGGCATACAGCTGGCATGCCCCCATACCACGCACGCACGCCAATCCGCTATCAGCAGCAGATCGGACTCAAATCTCCCAGCGAGCCACATTGCCCGCCGAGTTAGCAATAGCGCGTTAGTAGCTGCCTTTTGTTTCAAATTCGTCTCTGAACGCATAGATTTTGCTGGCTACAGAATGGAAAATCGTGTCGTACGTTTTAGTCTATATTTACGGATTGCGGGTGTATACGAGGAAACGATTTCGCACGATGCTAGGCGAATGTACTGTGTACGATTTGAGCTCAAGTTTGTTTGCGTTACGCGTAGTAAATCGTAGGTATTTTAAGGCTAGTAAATGACGAATTTCCCCTGTTTATTGATGTCACACTCCTTCCCTAAATATCTACTCTTGATATTATTTAAAGAAATAGAACTGTTAGCTGGTTACATTGGAATGTATATATTTAAGGTATCATGGTTGTATGTGCCATGTGGTTTTTCGTGTTGCAAAACATTCTACATAATGACCCAAGTTTGTAAGGATTTTTACACCCACCTACTGTATTAATCTGAAAAGTTCAATAGTCAAGGGGTAACAACTACCTTTTTAGGTAAGGTGAGAAAAATGCATGTGCAAGTAAAGGAGCAAAGAATTTGTTTTCGGAATATTTTTTGGAAGTTATTGAAATCATATTAAGCAGAAAAACATGAAGCTGAAAAATATTAAGCTGAAAAACATGGGTCTCTAAATTTTGCACGTGTGGGAACTTTGAGGTTGCTATTTTTAAAATTGAAGACAAATTTAGCACAATTTCACACAATTTTAAATCCTGGTATCATAGACGAAAATAATGCATAAATTTTATGTCAAATTCATGCTAGTATTTTAACACAGGGGCAGTCCTTGGTGGTGTTAATGGCCTCTACATTGGAGCAAGAGAAACAGCAGTGGCAGGACAGACAGGAGCGATCCGCAGAACACAGTATGTTTTATTTACCATTATGTCACAAAGTAATTCAATATTCGTTAATATTTTTACAGAGTTTATAATGTTGATTCTTCTTTATATATTGTCGATGGGCTTTTTATAAAAGTTTTGCCTTCATTCGCTATCATAAATATCCTATAATCACATTAGATCTTCAAATGTTGTACATATATTAATGAAATTAGTTGTGATCGAACGTTAATTGCCTAATTAGTTATGTAGTAGTAGTATATAAACTTAAGCAGCTGAATGAAGAGCTTTACACATTATCTTCCATAAAAACGTTTCAGTTCTTTTACTCTAATTTGTGTTGCTTAATAACAGTTAGATGTTCAATGTTATATTTCAAATTGGTCAATTGTTACTTATGTTAATGGCTGGCACCACTAGTGCTGCCTTTTACGGTGACAACTAGAACAAATTTTGATTCCATATGCCCCTATCTTTTGATTTGAACACCAGCAATAAAAGATGACAGGGTTAGTTTTTAGCTCGTCTTGACATCGTCAAGATGAGCTATTGCCATGGGGTGTCGTCCGTTGTACGTCCGTCTGTCCGTCAACATTTGGCTACAGTCAACGATAACTCAAGTACCGTTTGACCCACACGTTTCAAATTGCATATAGTTGTTACTCTTACTCCTATGGGAGAGGTTTGAACGTTCTATTTTGGAGCACGCCAGTAGACCTACATTCGAGCCACGTCCACTTTTTGGCAAAAATGGAAATGGCCATAAGTCAGTTCAGGTTCAATGGATTTTGCTCATTTCTGGTATGTGAATGAATGAGGACTGGCCCCAAAACATATCACACAGGTTTTGATTTTTTTTTTAATGGATATATGGCTATAATACGCGTTTTTATAGTCACATAATCACACATACACACACGAATGGACGCGCACACACGGGCTTGGACGCACGCACGCACGCGTGCGCGTGTATTATAGGCGCAAATTCATATATTGTGCCCCAGGGGGGGGGGGGGAAAAATTTTGAGCCAAATTACGGTCATTTGCCTGCGAAAGTTTTCCCGTGCTACTAATTGTGCCGTGGCCGATACTATCCGCGAGAGGGGAGTAAGGAAGTGAAGAAGAGGGAAGTGGACGGAATGAGGACGTCCTGATATCTCTATCTCTCTCTCTCTATCTATATATATATATATATATATAGCGCCCGCGAAAGAAAGGAAAATGGCAAGAGAGAGGGAGAGAGAGAGGGAGGGAGGGAGAGAGAGAGGCAGGGAGATAGAGGGAGAGGGAGATTAATACTGGAGGCACTGCGCGTGCTCTGTGTTCGTGTACTGTGTTTACAACACGCGTTTCCGTGAGAATCAGCGAGGTTCCTTTGTGCGAGGATGTCAAAGAGCATCACTTTCTCTCCCCCTATCTCACTCGCCCTTTCTTTCTTTCTCTCTCTCTCCCTCTTGCAATTCTTCTGTCTTTCTCGGGCGCTATATTCATACTATATATATACTCTTCTCTCTCCGTCCACTTCCCTCTTCCTCACTCCCCTCTCGCGGATAGTATCGCCCACGGCACCATACCAGTAGCAATAGAAGACTCGCAGGCGAATGACCGTATTATGGCTCAATTTTTTTCACGTTTTTCACATGTGTTATATTATTATATCTATGCTAATGCCATTGGATGGTGGCGCCTCTAGCGGATCACTATATCTCCCTCGAAACACTGTTTAATGTGGCATATGGCTAAATTGGCTTTTACATTTTTTGGTGTTATATATTTACATCATATGCGATTTCAATATTTGTTAAGTTTGCCCCTGCATGACAATCAGGGTTGTAGCCTTGTTGAATCGTCAATTAATTTGTTGCTGAAAAACTACACTTAGACATTAAGGAAAGTATATACATATATAATTATAATATATGCATGTCACTGTCGAAATATAAGCTAAACAATGGCATTGAAATATAACTTGGTCATAATAAGAAAATATACTGCATCTATCAAGTTCCATAAAGGAATGGATCTAAAAATATGAGCAAAGATTAACAAGGTGAAAACAAATCTGCCTATACATACCTTCTATACTCACTACACATATAATTTTGACATTTTTATACAATCTGCCACACATGTATGAGTCGAAATTCGCTATATAGCGATTGCGCAACACAAGTGATTTTCACCGAACGCAATTGAGCGATGTTTCGTAGCAACAATATGCCAGCTACTTACGTATTTAGAAGTCAGACCCATTTTATTTTGATTTCTGTACGAAATTGAAGCGTAAATGACTCTGAATCAGAGCAGGAAGACACAGAAGACATAGAATAAATCATAAACTAAAACAGGGAGGAAGGGAAGGGGTACTGCCAGTTTGGAGGGCAACAGAGGTAGGTGCAAGTAATTGTTTAACCTAACTTGCGGCATGCGCAAGTGTGTTTTTTTTTTAGCAAATTTCGACGCCTGTGTATACATTGCATACATTAAGAATTGTTATACATCCAATCAAGAGCATATTAAGAAGCTCTTAACAGCATATTAAGAAGCTTCTTAATACGCTCTCGATCCCATCGTTTTGTCATTCAGCGATTACTCTAAATGCAGTAATTTTCAACAAAATCGTTTGCAACGTAAATTCCGTTAACTATTCTGGTAATACTGCATTGCCATGTCAGTGATGTCATGCAATTTAGCATCTGGGGCCTGTAGTTCTCTGACGTTCTGATCTAGCATTCCTGATCCTGGGTGCATCGGAAACCTGAATGAATCACCTGGGTGAGGGGTCCAGCCAGTCTGGGGTTGCCTACTTCTCTCTGAAGGCGCAGCCACGAATGGAAAACCGGAATGCCAATGATGATCTGGTGGCGGTGGTAGTGGTGGTGGTGGTCGCCATGTTTGGGACTGGGGTCTGTAGTTGTATTGGTCGCCAAATCTACCACAAGGTGGTCGGACTTGCTGTCTAGGATGCAGATGGTGCTGCCGTGGCTGAAACCTTGGCCGAAACATGTGTGGTGACCTCGGAAAATTCATGCTCATGGGCGGTGGCCCTCTCATGTCACCTCGTAAAGGTGGTCTGCTCATAGAATTGCCTGGAAATCCACCATGCATAGACTGGTGCTGATCTCCATTCCCCTGAAGCGTCCTTGATAACCTATAGACACAGAGGGCATCGGACTAGCAGATTTACACTTAAAAGGAGGCACTGGTAAGTTGTAATGATATGCATAAGGGCTTATGCTATATATCCATCCTTGTTTGACATTTTGATTTGGTTTCTAGAGATAGGAAGATTCTTGATAACGTTCTGACCTATACGAATTGGAACTATATACTTACTGCAAACTACTACAGAGAATATTGTTATTATTGTATTATTACTTATGTAAAATAATATGTCAATTTCTTGTGTTGCGATCACAATAACTGAGCGCGTCTCGCGGTTCCTCACGAGATCAAAATTCGAAATTTAGATTGTCTCCCAACCCTATCAGGGCACGAATGATTTGGAAACAGTCCGTTGCTAAATATTGGCGCCACTATAGCTTCAAAATTTGTCTTAACACCTCACACAATAGCGCCATTTTAGCAGTAAATTGTGCGAATTCAGCTCGTGCAAGATTGCGATTTACAGCAATACGCTAGCAAATATATGTAAACGAATATCAGTACCACGAAGGTGAGTGATTAGTGGTCATAATAAGCTGAGGAACGTATACACTTGCTTCTTTATTGGTGGCAAATTTTGATGAGAAAAATCAGTTAAAAATGCGGGAATCGGGTGTCTCACTCTTGTGTTATTATCTACTCTTGACGTGATGTATAATGTTAATCTGTACGCCATCTATTGATGAATAGAATTTTTATAAATTTTTAACTTTTTTGAAATTTTTGAATTTGTTTCAGCCAGAACCACCTCACAGACGTGCCGATTCTGAAAATATATTTAGTTTTCCTCTAGGCTGCGGAGTTGTCTAGTTATGTGCAAACACACAAATTCGGCTGAACAACTTTATATATTATATAGATATATATATATATATATAAGTAAAGTCACACACGAACACCCGTGTAGATTTTATATATATATATATATATATATATATATATAGATAGAAAAATAGAAAGAGCAAGCGAGAGAGAGAGAGACAGATAGAGACAGAAAGAGAGAGAGAGAGAGAGAGAGAGAGAGAGAGAGAGAGAGAGAGAGAGAGAGAGAGAGAGAGAGAGAGAGAGAGAGAGAGAGAGAGAGAGAGAAAGTTTATATGAAACAAATTCTCCTCTATTTGAGGAAACGATAGGACACATTTAATTTAACTACCCTTACACTATATACTATAGTGGATAGCTGTACGGATATACACAATGAAATCATGACCTCTAGATAATACCATAAAAACTATACCACCACCATATAGAATTCACCAACTTTCATGACCACAATCAATTTTATTGCTCCCCATTTCCTTGCTATAATGTTAATGAATTTTGTCTTGACACCATCATTTTTGAAATTCTTACATGTGGTTTTACAAAGGCTAAATCACTACTACATAAATAAAACCCACTCCTACCCCCGACTGTTCTTTCGTATCTTCCTTCGCTTTGCTTCTGCATGCTTCCCTCCTGAATCTCCCTTCATTCCAGGGTCCTTGTTCGATCGACTACCCATAGACATTGATTTTGCAGCTTTTTCCTGTTCATCATCAGAAAAATCCTGCAGTTCTCGAGGTAACTCCTTGTCATATTCAGTTGACGCATCAGTTCCTTTCATCCTGACAGCCAAATCAATCATTACATCAATCAGGGTTTCTTCTACATAGGAAGCACTGCGGCGCACAGCCGTTATCAAATTTAACAATGCCATTGTGAAAATGTTCCTGTATTTACCCACCGTTGTCAAAATAGTGTCAATCCAAAAATAAATAGATCACCATCATGTGCTTTTGACTATCTACATGGAAAATCGTAATGAAATTCACAGCAACGTTTTTTTTGCGTGCCGACATACTCCTGTGTCATTCCCGATTGCAGCTTTTTCCACGATTCCGGGAAAGTTTTGCTGTCGCTCCCTCATACCAGCGGTGCCCACCCATACATATATAGCAATAAGCATGACCACATGACTGTAACAATCAGTGCATTCACCCCCCACCCCCCTATATTTATTTACAGCAAACTGTGTTCATATATATCTGCTATTAATAAATGCTCATGGTCACAAGTTATTTGTCCAGTTATAACAATGAGTTAAGCATAAGTATACTGCATATCTCAGAATATCCTGTTTATGAGTTCTCATGTAAAACTGCTTTGCAATAACGACAACTTTTTCCAAGTGTTATTATCGAACATGGTGTAGTGTAGCATTGTCAACTAATAAATATTACTTACGCTCTCAGTTGAGCAGTGAACACAAATGATGTAAACTCCTCCTTCTGGGGTGCGAAATACACCTTCATCCCAGGTTTGATACCCTTATTTTTAATGTCATCTTGCAAGTTGAACCGCACAGAGTAGAATGCTGAGGCTACTGGACCAAATGTCTCAAACACCTACAATACCAACAACAAATTTAGCAGGGATAGTTTTTTAAATAGGGATTTTTGATATAATTTAAATATAACTGTACATGTATATAAACATCTAGATATCTATTTACACGCGAACGCAGAAATCTTTTCAAGAATATTAATTGTTACGTCATGATACGCTCATTCTTTGATAAAATAGTAACTTTGAGAAAACATTACAATTCATGTAATCATATAACCATATATATGTGTTTTAAATTAAAGCTCTTCTCAGATACCTTTCCAAAAGGTGTTCGGTCTTCCAAGAACAGCACAGAATCCTCATTGATGGGAGGCATACCCTTCAATGATTCAACAACTACCAGAAGGCTAATTGCACTCGAGATTTGTCCTAGATGTCTGAGCTCCACTGACTCATCAACCGTGATATGCAAATCTTCTATTAGCGGTAGATCCTGTTTAGAGTATTAATTGATATCGTGATAAATTTAGAAAACCATTTGCACAACATCAACATTTGGAAATAAAATTTTAACTAGTTTTGATACTGCACTTGCATAGAAGCTACAAAGCTGTGTAACATCACAGCCCCCAAAAATAGATGCACACAATTGTAAGGTAGTTATATATATTTTTTAAATTGATTTAAAATGATTCTGATGTCAAAACTAAGCTCACTAATTCTATCTCAGAATAGCAATTACAAAATAAATGACAATAAGAAAAGAAAACATCTTGATAAGGACCACTTACATCTCAAGAAACTGCATTAAAAGCATATTATATTTATAATAATAGCTATAATAACTGTAATGGGTTGATAGTTATGATTACAGATCATTGATTTTTACCTATAGTCACAGTTTACAGTTACATTGGTCAAATAAAAACAAGTAACAGGGTGCGAAATTAACGGGAGTCCGGAGTCAAATACTCCCTGATTTATGTCGGACTCCCTGATTTGACATATGCAAGAGTCCGTGTGACTCCCTGAAAATTTCTGCTATACTAACTAGTTCGTTCCAAGGAGCTAAATATAACAAGGAGAGGAAGCGGATTGACTTTGTGCTTTTCGCCTAAAGAGCGCCACCTATGGTCCATAATCAGCTGAAACGGCTGTGCAGACCGAACCCAGAGACAATAAAACACTAATCTGTTCTAGGGTCTCTGCCGAACCCAAATTTGGGCCAGATATGGCGGCGCTTCCTCTCCTTGTTATATTTAGCTCCTTGGTTCGTTCCAGCGCACGGCCTCGCGGAATTGGCGTATTTTTTTCAGCAAATACCCAAAGACAATTTGGCAGACGTGCAATCGCATGAATCTTCAAAATAAGCACATGCGTTTGTTAATATCTTTAGTTTTGAACTTCAGACTGTGGACTCCTTCATTTTGCTGCGGACTCCCTCTTTTTGACGGCGGGGAGTCAACGGACTCCCTTGCTCAAAAGTTAATTTCTACCCCTGAAGTAACATATTAGCTCTAGCACTATAGCCCTTGTTCGCCACAGGGGCGCCTCTGGTGAACAAGGGCTATAGTACTAGAGTTAGTAACATATATACTTATTTATAATAAATGTTCAATATTTTCGCATATAAACGTTGATGTTTTGTGATTATTTCCAGTAACATGGAGCTAAATTTAACTAAAAGGAATACATACTATAGGTAGCATTTCGTCTAGCAGTTCCATTTTTCCATCTGGCATTCCCTTATTCACCTTGGTAGTTGGCAGTTGCTGTTTCTCTTGGACTTCATCATCATCACTAATATTTCATAAACAAAATAGACATATATAATTAAATACAAAGTTATATTCCATGTAGATTTATTATAGGTTAAATATGTTTCTATTCCATAACATGGAAAGCCTATAGCTGCGTTCACACGAGATACACGGCCTCGCTGGTTTTGTACTTATCTGGTGCTGAATTCGGCTGAAATACCGTGCTAACACAACCCGGAGCGTTCACACGAGAATCGAGGCTTAGCTGGCTAGGTATAATATAGATTGGTACCTGGTCGACAGTTCCACACGCTACACTAACGTCGTGTAGCGAAAGGGTACCAGTCTAGGTAAGAGCACTAAAGTTTTGCAATTCGAAATTGCGTTCACACGACAGACAATACGCGGCCAGCGTGGTGCCGAATGTTTCAGCTCAGAATCACTTTCCGCGCCGAGTAAGCCTCGTATTTCAGTACGGTACTGACTAAGCCGCGTATAAGTCTTGAATATTTTTAACATGTGAACGCTCAGTACGGAACTGAAATCCTCGTGTGAACGCAGCTTATATTTAGTGCTATGTAATACATTATACATAAATCTACAGACATTGTTTGTCACGGTCAAGACAATTACAGTGTTATATAATATGAAATCATTTACATAAACAATAGCTTCCACATATATATGTGCTGCTGCATATTTGTGTATATACCTTGAAGTGGAATCAGAAGAAGAGCTTGATGAATCAGATGAGCTAGAACTATCAATACTAATAGTATTAATAGTGGTAGTAGTTTGTAGCTCAGTATCTCCAGTATTTCTCTTCAAAGAATCTTGTTCTAATGTTACAATAATTGGGGTTTCATCATCATTGCTGCTATTACTGTCACTGTCACTATCTTCTGTACCAGAGTCAGATGAGGATTCATTCACATTTGTTTCAGTTGCATCTTGAGAAATCCTACATGGGTTAAGCCTATTATCTGATTTGTGTGAAACGGTGTTGCTCATATTCACTTCTGTACACACGCTTCTGATGGATGGCAGTCCATCATTATGATTCTGAACATGGATCTCATTTTCAAAAACTGTCCCTGTAGCATTCACATTCGTGCAACTTTGCTCATTCCTACTGCAGGTGATCTCTCCTTCTTTATTGCTGATCAAGCTTGCATTGCCGATGGTCTGTCCCACAGCACTCATCTCCATGGGTAGATTACTACGAATATGATCTTGTGTTTTGTTTATAATAGTGTCACTGAAGGCAATGCCACCGCTAGTAGTAGTATCCTGATTCCTGCTGGACAAGATATCTTCTTTGCTGGTAACATTATTATTCCTGCCATCGAGTTTCACATGAGTTATCGTATTAGTTGGTGGTACAGTACTATCCCTAGTAGTAGTATCCATACTATTATCGCAGTTCGTCTCTAGCTCTGGTTTAGTATCAATGGTTAGATTATTGTTGCGTGGACAATTGCCTGTATTTTGCTGATGAGAGCCAGAGATTGCCTCTTCTTCATCGCCATTTGATGTGCATTCATTGGCACTGGCAGAGTCTACCATGCCAATGTCAATGCTTTCACTTTCAGGTTCCTTTAATTTTATACTTTCCATTTCACTGACACTGTGATTTTTTACTATCAGAATACTAAGTACCTAACCAGTATATACCCTGCTACATCGGCGCGACTACTCCCTGACAACAATATTCAGTACTGTAGTGTTGACCTAATGTTGTAACTTGTAATAGGGGAGAAGTCATATCGTCGGGCCGTTATCATCTTTTCAAATTTGTACTTCTCGATTTTTGCTTGTAAAAATGACCATTGACGTCACATGCAGTCCCGAGTCCGTTTGAAGACTGATTACTCAGACCAAAACGTTTGCTCTTTTGATAACCAGGATACTCTACCACAAATTATAACACAGTCTGTTTAAAGACATATGTCAAATGCTCATCTGCTAATCAGCTAGTATACCCGGTACTTCACCAAAATTTAGAAATGCCTGAGTATACCACGTTTTCCACGGGAGCTGACATGTTGGGAACAATTTCCAATGACGTCACGTCGTTTAGGCGATTATTCATAATAAATAATAAATAATAGAATAACTAGTGAAGTTTATGATATTAAGTAAATTTTAGACTTACTATTGTATTTTTTAATTTTAAGATATAAATAATTTTTTTCTAATAAAGGTGTAGTAAATTAAACTTGGTGCCCATCTTATTTTAGAATAGTGTGCTATCATTTATGAGAGCACACGCGTATTGACCCTTCGCTTGACATCTTTGCTTGACACTAATGGTTTGAGGTTGATGTTGTTGAATGAGGTGTTTGGTGAGGTCCGGTGATTTGTTCTTTTTTCTATTATAATTGCTTAGCTTCATTTTTAAACGATGGATCGGTATGGCACTGGAGGTTATAGCTCTCCCTATGGAGCAGGAAATGTACCCCTAAATCTTCCAGGTAATGCAAAGTTATGATGTTGTTTTAACCTTTGTGAATTGTCTGTCTTCCATGATCATGATGTAATAATACTATCAGGAGTAAGATAATATCTACCATATATACCTATATTATATATACCTATACCTATATACCTACCCCACCACACCTACATATACACCTACCTACCTACCCCTACATATACCTATATGATCTTACTCCTGCTAGTATTAGTATTAGCTAGAGTACAGTACAGTAGGTGATGGCACGACTCATTTGCACTCATTATAGCATACTCATTACGTAATGCGTTGACGTAGAGTCTTAATAAAACGGTATATAATTATTAACACTTGTGTTAACACTACAAGTGCTATAAAGCGTGTCCCACTAGTAATGTAATAGGTAGTGGTAAATTTACGATTTCTCACAATATTTAAAAGTGTGGCTCCTGTGACTGGTAGTGGTAAACCACATTATCAACTCTCGCCAGACTTCATGAGAAGAGAGTTTAGTTCAGTGTTCATAGTGCAGTTGTGGGGTGTTGTTTCCAAACAATATATTTATGTTTGTTTGTAGGCACTGGTTCAATGACGCAGCTCTCCCCATATCTCAACATCGATCCAGGCTATTTGTATCAGGTAATTTTATGTTTAATACGTTAATGTATTTTACTTATAATAATATACGTATAATTATTCTTTCACATATTTTTTAAGGGTGCCTTATACTGCCAATTCACTGATCGTGTGAAATAATAATTACAGGACTTACCTGTCTATAACAATGTTACTAACTTATTGTGCTGCCGAAGCAGGCAGAGCTTGTGATATAACTAATAGGCATATGTTAACCTGCTATTTTAAGAGAGTGAGTATTTGCCCTACGGTCGGGTGTATAAGAAAGGCTAGCTATTCGCCCGACAGTCTATAAGGATATGAACCAGTCTACGAGAGTTTATCCTCGCGCGAGATCTCTCGATATTGCCATTTTTAGAATTTCCGCACCACTGCTTTCATTGTTAGGGTTAGGGTTAGGGATATTTCTTGATATCAAGAATTGTATTTCTTGATATCAACAAGACGGTCGGGCGAATAGACAGTAGCAACATACACATGTGGCAGTCGGGCGAATAGCCTCGGCCCTATTTTAACATGATATAACACATGCCATATGCCACAATCCACCTCTTATTCAGAGACATGCCCAATTCAGCAACACATTAAGGTTGTTAGGGGCAGATAAGCATTGTATTTTTAGGTGATCAGTGGTTATGGGTGTCAGACTGTCAGTGGTGTTGGACCAGCTCTAATGTAATTGTATCCCCCACGTCAAAGTCGGCGCGGATAGTATGGTTTCATGTCTGTCCAGCCGCCGCCGCCGCAGACACTTTCCCTTCCGCTCTGTAACTCGACCCCTAATTGACCTAGCATGACCAAACATAGTCTACTTACACATCTTGGGGAGAAAGTGTGTCACGTACCAAAACCACGTCACTGCGGCTTTTATTTGACTTTGACCTTGACCTTGATCATATCTCCCTTCCGCTCTATAACTCGGCCCCTAATTGACCTAGTGCGACCAAACTTGGTATACTTACACATCTTGGGGAGAAGGTGTGTCGCGTACCGAAACCAGGTCACTGTGACCTTTATTTGACCTTGACCTTGACCTTGACCTTCATCACATTTCCCTTCCGCTGTATAACTCGGCCCCTAATTGAGCTAGCGCGACCAAACTTCGTATACTTACACATCTTGGGGAGAAGGTGTGTCGCGTACCAAAACCCCTAAGGCAACCAATTTTAACATACTTGCACATCTCAGGCAGATGAGTTGTGTAACAAACCTTTGTCTTTGTGACTTATTTAACTTTACCTACCTTCTACGTCTTTACAGAGATATTTTATTCATACTAGATCACGGGGGATACATGTAGTTGGCGACAACTGCCCTTTCTAGTTTTATTATATTCTTTTGAATTTCAGTATTTATTTTTGAATCTAGATATAGAACATCATTCTTTATATATGGTTCAAGATATATAACATTTTGAGTGGATTAATTAGAGTAGCAATTAACAAGGGTAGCGTTTGTATGTATGTGGTGTACATAATAGCTACGGATCTGATGGTATGTACTTGTTTCTCCAGAGTGAAGGCCCCGAATTCATTTTTCCGGAAGGTGCAAGTCACAAGCGGGGGAGGTTTGAGTTGGCCTTCTCACAGATCGGTGGTTCAGTGATGACAGGTAAGTGAAGTTGGCGTGATTTGAACAGAAATCCAATCTGTCAGTCGCTCATTCAAATAAAAGTACTATTTCCATGGAGACTGTCATCAACCAAGATAAATTTATATTGATTGACCAATTCATAGCTGTCGTTCAACTTTTTTCTAGTCAATATGTTAATCGTATTAATTTTTAATGTGTGGCTGCATATTATCAAGAGTAGATAATAGGGAAGGAGTGTGACATCAATAAACAAGGGAAATTCGTCATTTACTAGCCTTAAAATACCTACGATTTACTACGCGTAACGCAACCAACTTGAGCTCAAATCGTACCCAGTACATTTGCCTAGCATCGTACGAAATCGTTTCCTCGTATACACCCGCAATCCGGAGATATAGACTAAAACATATGACACGATTTTCCATTCTGTAGCCAGCAAAAATGTGTTCAGAGACGAATTTGAAACAAAAGGCAGCTACTAACGCACTATTGCTAACTCGGCGGGCAATGTGGCTCGCTGGGAGATTAGGCATCAACGCAACACTCGGCGAGATAACCTTTGACCCGGTACACAGCTACATACCGGCATACAGCTGGCATGCCCCCATACCACGCACGCACGCCAATCCGCTATCAGCAGCAGATCGGACTCAAATCTCCCAGCGAGCCACATTGCCCGCCGAGTTAGCAATAGCGCGTTAGTAGCTCAAATTCGTCTCTGAACGCATAGATTTTGCTGGCTACAGAATGGAAAATCGTGTCGTACGTTTTAGTCTATATTTACGGATTGCGGGTGTATACGAGGAAACGATTTCGCACGATGCTAGGCGAATGTACTGTGTACGATTTGAGCTCAAGTTTGTTTGCGTTACGCGTAGTAAATCGTAGGTATTTTAAGGCTAGTAAATGACGAATTTCCCCTGTTTATTGATGTCACACTCCTTCCCTAAATATCTACTCTTGATATTATTTAAAGAAATAGAACTGTTAGCTGGTTACATTGGAATGTATATATTTAAGGTATCATGGTTGTATGTGCCATGTGGTTTTTCGTGTTGCAAAACATTCTACATAATGACCCAAGTTTGTAAGGATTTTTACACCCACCTACTGTATTAATCTGAAAAGTTCAATAGTCAAGGGGTAACAACTACCTTTTTAGGTAAGGTGAGAAAAATGCATGTGCAAGTAAAGGAGCAAAGAATTTGTTTTCGGAATATTTTTTGGAAGTTATTGAAATCATATTAAGCAGAAAAACATGAAGCTGAAAAATATTAAGCTGAAAAACATGGGTCTCTAAATTTTGCACGTGTGGGAACTTTGAGGTTGCTATTTTTAAAATTGAAGACAAATTTAGCACAATTTCACACAATTTTAAATCCTGGTATCATAGACGAAAATAATGCATAAATTTTATGTCAAATTCATGCTAGTATTTTAACACAGGGGCAGTCCTTGGTGGTGTTAATGGCCTCTACATTGGAGCAAGAGAAACAGCAGTGGCAGGACAGACAGGAGCGATCCGCAGAACACAGTATGTTTTATTTACCATTATGTCACAAAGTAATTCAATATTCGTTAATATTTTTACAGAGTTTATAATGTTGATTCTTCTTTATATATTGTCGATGGGCTTTTTATAAAAGTTTTGCCTTCATTCGCTATCATAAATATCCTATAATCACATTAGATCTTCAAATGTTGTACATATATTAATGAAATTAGTTGTGATCGAACGTTAATTGCCTAATTAGTTATGTAGTAGTAGTATATAAACTTAAGCAGCTGAATGAAGAGCTTTACACATTATCTTCCATAAAAACGTTTCAGTTCTTTTACTCTAATTTGTGTTGCTTAATAACAGTTAGATGTTCAATGTTATATTTCAAATTGGTCAATTGTTACTTATGTTAATGGCTGGCACCACTAGTGCTGCCTTTTACGGTGACAACTAGAACAAATTTTGATTCCATATGCCCCTATCTTTTGATTTGAACACCAGCAATAAAAGATGACAGGGTTAGTTTTTAGCTCGTCTTGACATCGTCAAGATGAGCTATTGCCATGGGGTGTCGTCCGTTGTACGTCCGTCTGTCCGTCAACATTTGGCTACAGTCAACGATAACTCAAGTACCGTTTGACCCACACGTTTCAAATTGCATATAGTTGTTACTCTTACTCCTATGGGAGAGGTTTGAACGTCCTATTTTGGAGCACGCCAGTCGACCTACTTTCGAGTCACGTCCACTTTTTGGCAAAAATGAAATTACGCATCTAAATTCATTCGATTTTGTTAAATTTTGGTATGTGAATGTGTAAGGCTAGCCCCAAAACAGTTGTTACTCCTATGGCAGAGATGACAACGTCCTATTACGTTTATTTCGTCTAACTGGTCAACAACTCTACAATCATACCTATAATATACGTGTAATATTGGGTTTTAGATTCTTCGTTACAGTAATTGGAATATTTTATTGTTTTTATTTGCGCGATATTCGAAAAAAACCAAAATGGCCATCATTTAGGTGTAGCGCCATCTCTCGTTTATTGGACGTACTTATGTGATAAACTCTTCATTCTAATCTCTCGTTTTCAGAATGTTTAACTTCGTGACAAGGCGTGGTGCTGCTGCTGCAAATAGCTTGGGATGTGTAGCCGTCATGTACAGCAGCTTTGGTGTTTTGCTGTCGTGGCTAAGAGGCGCAGACGACGAGCTGAACACCGTTATCTCGTCAACAGCCACTGGATTGCTATACAAGTCATCAGGTACATGGTTACCAAGGAAAATTCTTTTTTCGGGGGCTACTTTTCAAGCTCGCGTGCATGAAAATAGCACTCTAAAATTTGGTTTGCATTGAACTCTATGCAAATTTACGGGGGCTTTTTTGGCATTTCCAGGGCTCTTTTTGGCATTTCCGGGGCTAAATCGCCCCGAGCCCCCGTGTATTTTTTTCACTGATGGTTACATAGTCCAAAATACATAGCAAGTGCAGTGACGAACACTTGGTTGAATATTTATAGTAGTGGCTGTCATGAATAACTGAATAATATTGCTTCTGTAACTATTGACAGAAGTTTGAACTGACGTTGTGTGTTTTATGGTTTGCCAAAATAATTGGTAACAATTTCAAATGTAGGGACGTAGTTTGTATGTAATAATTTATAGTAGAAATAATCAAGAAGAAGTATAATTTTGTGTTCACTAAAGAAATATATTGTTTACAAACAAACAGTCAGAGTTGCGTCGTCCAGTCTTTCCCGTTCCAACCGTCCCGTTCAAATGCTCTGCAGCCCCTTATATATGAACCCCGCATCCAATCACCGGCAAGCTCCTTCCTACTCCAACCAATCACACACCACCACTCTCTCTCTATTCGAATAATTGCGCGCGAAAGCACAACTGGTCAACAGCTGTGTACGGCGCCATCTATGTCTGATATTCCCCCAGCCTAACTATTTCTAATCTATATGCTAAACGCCCAACCCTTCTCTATGTACAACCAATACTATCTACAATTACTAATTCAATGTAACATCTGTGCAACATGTGTAAAACAGATGTTACATAACTAGTATAATTTTTCTTAAAGCCTGATAAATATCAAACCCTTATCGTTGTATTTATCTACAGATTGCTGCTGAACAAGGATAAAAATTAATGCTACGAGTTATGTTTTTCAGCTGGGCTACGGAAGTGTGCAAGAGGAGGTGCGGTTGGACTTGGACTGGGAGTAGCGTACTGCCTGTTCACGAGTAAGGACCGTTTAAAGCAGATGATTAGTGGGAAATCATGATATCGTTAGTTTAATAGTTATGAAACTATGTACATTTGTAAACAGCCAGTGGCCAAACACTTGGAAGCGAGGAATGTTTTACGTGCGCCCTGTGATAGCGTGCACATATGTAAGGAAAGGTGCATAGTTGTGCTGCGAGTCCACCATTGTAGTGCTGCCATGCAAAAGCCTGGGAGGTACATGATCAGATCTCTTCTGTGATAAGGCTTTATGCGTTTTATCAGAGGAATAGAGCTTGTACGAGGTAGGATAATTCTAACTGTAGAAGAAATCGTAGCAGCGTACTTCAGACTTCAGCGCAAATGCTAGATAAATTGCGATATTCATCGTTCAATACTACATGCAAGAATGTAAACAGTAAGCTTGCTGCTTTCTTGGTTGGATTGGTTATTATAGAACAGCATCTGTCATCGACTTCCGACTATACACTTTTAAAATCGCAAGGGAAAATATGCTGTTCAATAGTATACTTGTAGAATAAACATAACACTTCAAGTATTAATTATTCCGTTCATTCAGAGTTCCACACTTCGAAACAGATTATGCCATGTCGTATGTATACATGCGGCTTCTGTAGAAAACATTATTGGCCATCTGCTTAACTTAAGTAAGGTTTGCAATAGTAATCATCATCATACGGTATGTAGAGGCTACCAGTCTTACACATAGGTAGATTATGCCCGGCGCACACGGGAGTTATTTTACTCAAGTAAAATGACGCACGAGGTATTTTACTCACGTGTGCGGCGGATTTTCGTTGAGTAATTTGACGCATGCGTCATTTTACTCACGTGTGCGGCGGATTTTCGTTGAGTAATTTGACGCATGCGTCATTTTACTCACGTGTGCGGATTTTCGTTGAGTAATTTGACTCGTGCGTCATTTTACTTGAGTAAAATAACTCGCGCGTGTGCCGGGCTTTATGCTTAACATTAGAGGGAACACAAGGTCTGTTTCCATAACATTTCTATCGAGTCTTGATGCATTAAGGTAGCACTGACTACAGTTACTTTGAAAAATTAGTTTGTATTATAAACTCAAAACCATCTTCTAACGAAAGGAATTCTCCTGAAATCAAAGTGGTGTTTTTAAGTGTCTGTCAGATTCAAACTGATATTTGGCTACATGATCATTAAGTAACCGAGATCCATACTTGAGAAGTAGTCTTGCACTGAATACAGTCAACCAAATTATTGTAGTGGACCCAGCATTCATTCATGTTAACCTGATTATTGCCTCGTATAATCTGAAAAATCTTGCAAAACTGAGTATGTTATTAAAATTTGGTTACCTCACGAAAACATTATAAATTCTTGGCATATAAACGTTTTTGTGCATACATTTTCATTTTTATTTTTGTTTTATGTGGACAATCTGTTACGATTGTACAAGCCATTACATCATTTACATTGCAGTAATGCATTGCAACTTTTACCAGATATATCACCAGATATAATTTTAACACGTTCAAGTATTTATTTCTCAGAATACTTCATACTTGAAATACTATTTTGCTAATATTAAGAAGTGTCTTAAGCATGTATATAGCCATTGAATTCAATTGTCCCTAATTAAGAAACAGAGGAACAATTTGTGATGTGAGGGTAAACATTAACATTGATTAAGTATACAATTTCGTTCTCAATAACTCATAATTCAACAATAAAATACTCATTTGGAACTTTTTGGGACCTTTTAGAAGATTTGGATTATCTTGGCCATGCAGTGTCACTGTGTGGGCACATGCAAGCAAGTTGTATTTTGCAGAATTACCGCAGAATACTTTACAATAACAGTAAAAGTATACTTGCTTAAAATATCCAAATAGAGTTTAGAAATACCCTGTTAAAATATACATACCTTCAAGACTACATCAGGAGTCTATCAATATTGATATATCAATATCAATATTGATAGACTCTTGACTACATGAATAAGAGAATATATCGTCAATGTACTCCGATTCCATAGTATAAACATGCGTCGAACTAATCTCACATATTAACCATTACACAACATGCAATGAGTATTAAAATAAATCTTCATAACATTGATATGATGTAAGGTCTCAGATTCAACCAAACCAAGGTGGTTTGAAATATTTTTGATTTGAAAACTGACATTCCAATTCTCAATTTCTCATTTTAAAAATGCAGTAAAAAACAGTACATTTTAAGTTCATAAGGTAGGAATGAAATAATAATTAATAAGCTTGTTTACTTCATAGAAACAAATAACATATATAAAAACTTTCTTTACCATTGATCTGTAGCAATTGGTATTAGCCAGGAAAATATTGTGGCCATTGATACACTTGTTGCATCATACTTTATACCAAGCTTTACATTATGTGTGAGGAATTTCACAGTTAGACTCAAAAGATTAGGAATATTCCAGGCCACCTAGATACCCATTTGTAATTAAGACCTCTAATCTGCAACACCAGTTCCTAGTAACATATCACAGAATGATGTACACACATTTGTGGAATGTATAAGTAATATCCCTATCACAAGTGCATGCAAGGCCCGTTTTTGTTATAATATGTAATTTCAGTCCAATGGGCATTGACAGTTGTGGAATACATAATTTTAGACAAATATAATGCTTTAGATGCAAAACTGGTGCAACACACAGTCAACGAAACCATGAAAAATACAAGTGTACAAATATTCGTACACACCACCTGAGTAACCATTTTCCAATGAAAGAACATGTATGTCGAAAACGCATACACGTAGGAATGTGTTATAACGACCGTAAATGTAAAAAAATACACACCACCCCTCTACCATGTTTGCATCGCCTGTCACCGGTTACAGCAAAACCCACCAGCATCATCAACATACAGGTAACGCACGGCAAGGCGAGGCTCCGCAATGCATTTCTCGTTCGCTTCCCGGGTCGCCGCCCCGGTGGCGCCATCTCAACCTTTCACGATGCCGTTCGGCGTCTTTCCCTGCGAAGCGTTGACGACCTCGGCGGCGATTTCGGCGGCGCATCTCTGCTGCCCCTCGACGGTGCTGGCGCCTAGGTGCGGCGTCGCGACCATGCGCGGGTGCTGCAGCAGCGCCGCGTTCTGCGGCGGCTCCTCCGCAAACACGTCGAGCGCGGCGCCGGCGCAGCGCCCCGACTGTAGCGCCCTCAGGAGCGCGTCCTCGTCGACGACGCCGCCGCGAGCGACGTTGACGACCCTGAAGCCGGGCTTGCACTTGGCGAAGACGTCGTCGCACAGCAGGTTCTTTGTCTGCGGGATCAGCGGGACGTGGATCGTGAGGTAGTCGGCCTGCGGCCAGATTTGCTCCAGAGATAAACCCTCCACACCAAACTCCTTGCTTGCCTGGGGCGGAACGAGGGGGTCGTAGCCGATTGTCTTCATGCCAAACGCCTAGATATACGTAGGTTAAATTTGTATTTAATTTAAAAGGGTTGAACAGGAAGAAGTACATCACAAAATCATTTGCAGATTTGATGCACTTTTCTGTTGGAATAACTACTGGATGACTTCCCAAATAATTTGTATATATTCAGGGTGCGAAATTAGCACCGGCCCACCGGCATATGCCGGCAAATTATTTGGAGGGGTGGTATCATTGGCAAAACACCGGCCCTCCGAGCCGGTGGTTTCAGTCGTGTTAGCGATCGAGTACCTACATTTTTATTTATAGCAAATAGCCTAGTTATTCAGTTTACTACACAAGTTTTGGAATACTTCATCATTTATACATCAAACGTACATCAACGTTACGTTGATATACGTTTGATGTACAAATGATGAAGTAATCCAAAACTTGTGTAGTAAACTGAATAACTTTAATATCTGCTCATGTATAGTCACATCTCCTTGCACACAGAGACAAAGAAAAGCGCACACGGGCGTAAGCGTGTGCTTACTTGCGCGACCACAACCAGACTCCTCGCACATTTTAGCCAATAACTCTGCATTCTGGTACAACACATTCACACTGATGTGTCAAACTGCTAGATACAAAAGATGCGTCGCGTCACGCTCACTGCTAAAATAGTCTGGCTACCTGAACAAACAGCTGTTACATTACTGTTTTACCTGAAGGATATCACGCCATAACTTATCAACATTTTACAAATTTGAAATCTAGACTGCAAGTGTGAAACATGACATTGATTTTACGAACAAATTTGTGAGGGCTGGTAAAAATTACTGTTACCAGGCAGCCCTTAGAGCCGGTGCAAAAAAATCTGAATTTCGTGCCCTGTATATTTATATTTATATATTTATATACAAACATACATATTATATTGAATGTACATAGCAGGCACCATGTCATAAAATGCTTGACATTAAGTTACCTCTTCAACTAATATGTATAAATAATTACAAGTAAAATACTAATAGAGTATACCTGCATGCGCGTAGCCACCTCACGTCCTATACGACCTAGCCCGATAATGCCAATAGTTTTTTCATATAGTTCATTGCCCATTAATTTTGATCTCAGCTTCCAATTGCCAGCTTTCAAAGCCTCATTACCTTGTGGGATGTTCCTGAAATTAGTATATAAGAGTTGAGTGTATAACTAGTTGAGCTACATTTAGAATGAATTAAAGATCGTGTTTTAATTCCGCAGTACTTGGTTTTCGACATTGGTGGACCCTTCCAAACAGAATCATTTAAAGGGTGGACTGTGAAAACATTTACTAATACCATAAATTGCCGGTTGTCGCCGATACTATAACTGCGCATAGATTTCAAAACATCGCAGTGCGTCCCCGTTTCATGACCTAACAATCTACAATGCAATGTGCAAACTAGTGTATACAGTGTACCTGGAACATGCCATGATCATGGCACACGTGTGTTCTGCTGCACTCATGGTGTTACCCATTGGTGTATTAAGCACCATAACACCAGCTGCACTGGCAGCCTTCAAATCAATGTTGTCTACTCCTGTGCCAGCACGTCCAACCAGCTTCAATTGTGGCTTACCCGCCTGAATGACATCGGCAGTGACCTAGATGATTTACAACAAAGTGAAACTGATGCAATTCATGTTTGACATCCATATGAATAAAGAATGTGATATTAAATTTGCAGGGTTTAATGATATTAATATTATTATTAATATTACTTTATTAGGACGAAAACGTACAAAGTATTGAAGTAATAAAAAATGCATGGCAGGTACCATATGACAGCAAATCTCACGGATTCATATTGAATTATAATTTGTGAAGATCAGGATGAACAATTCAAAATTCATAGTACATATACGAAAAAAGTCGAATGGATAATTAATTAATTAATTATGTTCAATTACCTTCGTTTGCGAGCGGACAACCAGTGCATCGTACTGCGAAATGTCAGCTACAAGCTGTTCTTTGGTCAATCCAACTTTCACATCCACGTGAATTCCGGCACTCCTGAGACTATTTGTGCATATTTCATCGATATTGTCAGTAATTAATACTTTGGCTATATGCATGACTTCTGTGAATACGAGTTACAATATCCGGGTTGAACAGAAAACAGCAGTTAGACAACTTAACTTTCTAAATACAGACCTTGTTCGATTTGTACACGTAGCCAAGGCGCCGGTACGCGACAGACTGGCACGCGGTCTCTTTATGAAATAATTCTATACCGAAGGGAAAGGACATGCTACCCATCTAAAATGCGCGTGCGCGTGGGCACTCGTGCACTCGTGGGTGACCT